CATTTCGTTCTCGAGCAGAAGGGGGGAGTGTCTCTTGAGACTTGTCCATGAATTCTTGGTTTCCTTTGGGGCGCCTTGGGAGAGAGGAGGGGGGTGGTAAGGGAGGGGTGTCAGGATGTCTGGGTGTGGCTCCTAGCCTCCCACACCAAGTGACTTGGCGGGAGTGAGGGATGAGATGTGATGGAACTGCGGCGGCGGCAGCAGCAGCAGCAGTAGCAGGAGCAGCAGTAGCAGGAGCAATCACGGCATGTAGCGTGCGTTGGATGAGCGGGCGAGCCTGCAGCTGTCTCGTCTTCCTGCTGGACTATAACCATAAAGGTCAGGTATGCATCCCTATGCTAAGGCAGGGTACGGAGTATGATGGAAGCCCTAGGGGTGTGTATGTACATGTGAGTATGAGTGAGTGTAAGTGTGAGTGTGCGTGTGTACGTCTGCGTGTGTGTGTGCTGCTCCGGGATGAGAATAGATTTGATAAATGGTACTAAATAAAAGTTGCCCCGTCACTTATTATCCGAATTCAAAAAAAAAGGATTGGGATCGGAGGGGCAGAGCCTAGAGGGGGGTTAGAAGAGGCGACCAGGGTCGAGGACGTGCGTGTCCATCGTTCCGATAGACGACATGAACAACGACAACAGACGGGTCTGTTTGAAGCATATGAGACGAGGCGAGATTGACGAGTGCTTGAGCCTTCCATCGAGCCTTGAGCATTCACGGCCCGCGTTTACGAGGAGTCTGGAAATCTGAGTCCGAGAGGGCTGCATTGATGCAATGACTTGATGAGCGGCAGCGGGAGATGACGTTGGTAGCGTTCTGGTTCGGATGCTGGAAAGGAACTTTCATGAAAAGGATCGTTGGTGCAAACAAAGTGCAAGGTCAGGGGAAGGTGAAGAAGGTAGAGTATGGTCAGCAGCACACGGCTTTGGGTGGCAGCAGCAACAACCACCTCCACCTCAAAGGTCCACGTATATTTTCGTACGGAAGGAAGAAGTGAGGTGTCTGCAGGGGAGAAGTGTATCCGTCCGAATGGGATGGGACCCGATGCTGCGAGTGATTGACGGATCCTGCGGATGATATGATGAGCTCAAGCCGGATACATATCTCAACGGTGTTTCTGCTCACAGCTACCATCAGCTCTTGACCTGCCACCGTTTGCTTACATTTCTGACCTTCTTCACCTTGCGCCGCGTTGAAGTTGGATCATGGATGGTAGATGATGCGAGGCCCTGAGTCAAGGACCTGGCCTCAGGCCCGAGTGGGCTCGACAAGATTTCGTGATGATCACCGAGCATGGGAGCCTGGGAGGTGCGGGCTCCAACAGTTTGTGGGGATGGGGTGGAGACCGCCTCACGGTTCGATGGTCCAGTTGCATCTCGGAATTACTGATATACCCCCCAGCTCATGTTGTTGGTGATGAACGAATATGATGACTGTTGAGCGAGCCAGCGAGCGAGGAACCTGACCCTTCGAAGCAAACGATTTGCTCATGATTGATCATGATGTGGACGCCGAATGAGCTGGGGTTCCAAATTTGAGACTCCGGCGGCGGCACGGCGAGACAAGACAGTCTGACGGCGGGCGGGAGAGACGGTAAGGGAAGAAGCAAGTACTGTCTGACTGTGTACCTACTACCTAGGTAGTAGGTAAGGTATCTTAATGTACTCCGTACGGATACCTCAGCTAGAGATGGGAATATTTGATGCTTTGCCACGGGGTTTTTTGTGCCGAAGAGATGTTGCGATTGGACTCTTTTGCATTCTAAGAAGGAAAGATTGAGGTAAGGTACCTTATTGTTAGATACGTATTGTCTCGGGCTCCAGATTTTTCCAGAGGTGTCTCATTCCCTTCCATCCCAGGATTACCTAAGGCGAGGTAGTTCGTAGCTTCCAAGTTGGTGAAGCGCTTGTAGTGATGACCTACCTACCTTACCCTGGCAAGCTGCTCAGAGTACGGATACGTACCCAAAATATCATCGGAGGAAATGACAAATGACCTCAGGCACAACAGGATGAAGCAAGCAGTTGAGCATAAGGTAAAGTAGCTAGCTACCTTACCAGACGAACACAGATAGGTACCGCGGCAGCGTACGGATACACGATGCCACAAAGCATTTGAGCATTGCGACTATTCCATCCCGAGGCTCTCATGCCAGAGGCTCTCAATCCAGAGGCCCCAAGTTCATTAAGCGAGCCGGAAGTTACCCACACAAGCTGTGCCGTTTGGGTAGGTAACTGTGACTCTAGACTCCCAGAATCCGCGCCACGGATACAACGTGAGGGCTGCAAGGCTTGAAGCTCCGACCCGGATCTTCTTCCTCGAGCTGCCGCATGAATGCATTACTGCGTTGGCGCACGCCATTTGCCTATCTATCGGCTTCCCACGCTACATTACGCAGGAATATGTTCCTAACTGCCTCGGGAGGTTGATCGTCGCAAGGTAGGTATGGATGGACGTGATGGTGATGGCGCATTGGCGAGCGAACCATGGGCCTGGCGATATCTGAGCTTGCCTTGAGACACCAACAAAAAGCCGCAGGCATCGAAGGGCGTGGCGCGGTCGGGCTGGAATTGGTGGGAGATAGGAAAGGTGAGCAGAGAGCCATGAGCAAGAAAAAAAAGTCTGCTTTGGCTCGGCCGTCATCCCTTCTTTCATTCCAGCCCATTGGCCTCACGTCACGATTTAGCGGGCGATGGCTGCTTCTTCTTCACATTAGTGTCATTCCTGCCATCTGGGGGTTTCCTTGGGTCTGCCGCTTGGGTCGCCATCGTTAGGTACCGCTAGTCCGTCATTGGTCCTTGGGGCGATCGTCGACCGAGTGGTGGTTGTCTTTTAGTTTTGGGGGGAGTCTAACAGAGCTTCCAGCCTTTGCTTTCTCCCACCGCCTCCAGGTTCTTTTCAGTAGAAACTCCCATCTCGCTCTCGGGGAGACGGGCCCATACCTAGATGCGTGGGTGCTCGGGAGAGAGAGAAGATGCTGCTAGAAACCGGAGTCCGAAGACAGACGACCATGCGGTGTGGAAACACGCTCCGGCTCGACAGCCTTGAATGCGACTTGGCCGGCTCTGACTTGCTAGAGGCATGCAAGAGGGGTCCTCATCCATGATCCAGTTGCCGCGCTGTCCTATCCCATGGAGCCCAATTGAGGATTGTGTGTCGCCCCAGCTTGAAGCTACCTATGGGCTCTGAGCTATCCTCGGATGTGGTTCTCAAGCTTTCTCGTGTGTCTTGCTCCCCCGTCCGGATGCGTCCGTACTTGCGGGGGGTCAACGACAAGCGATAGAAACCAGGGAAGTAATGGGTAGTAGTAGCCACCGGTTGTGTCATGAAGCAAGGCGGTGGTTTGGGTAGGGAGTGCGGTGTACGGAGTAGTGTTAGTTGCAGCCCAAAAGTCAGATACACCATGACGAGAAAGAAAAATCTGCCTTGGTTAATGGAGGGGCGGTCAGAGCTCTCTGGTAGCTGAGCTGTCTGTCTTTCTCTCTCCGCTTCCTTCATTAAGCTTGCCCATATCCCCTTCGGTGGTCGGATCTTTGTCGGATTCTTCCCTTTCTCTTCCCCATCGTCTTGTCATTTACCTGTTGTGTTTCCTCTTCTTCTGACTGACAAAGTCGGATGGAGGACCAGCGGGGGATGCATCACTACGGCCATTGACTGTTTTGTTTCTTTCCGAGGGTAGAAGGAATACAAAGGTCAACCAACGACCAACGAGAGGGCGAGCCCCGCAGCTCGCCCCCGCGCGACCAAACGACGGGAATTGTCACGATAGGAAAGAAAGACAAACAGGAAGAAGGAGAAAGAACCTAAGCAGAGAAAGGGTTCTTTCCTTGTGAAAACACCGAAAGATTCGAAGGAAGGAAGGGGCCAATCGAGAACAAAGTTGGTAAGAGGTAAGCGACGCTCCTTCTCATTTTCATCCCATGTTCCGTCGTCGCCTTCCTCTTCCAGTTCTGGGGAAGTCGGGCCTCCTTCCATCTCTTACAGCTACCTACCCATTGTCCTTTCCTTCCTTTCGTTCCCCTGCCTTGATCACATGATTCACATACCTACCGGTACCTTCCCTTCTCGCATCATGGTTCGTCTGGCATTCAGCCCAAGGTAGCGAATTCCTCGAATGTTGGCTCGAGCATGCTTCTCCTTCAGCCTCAGCCTCTACAACAATATATCCATCCATCCCTTCCCATTACCCAAAACCCACGAGACAGGACCGAAAATTCAAGATCCAAGACGGGGAACACGGACGACCGGACAGGGGCCCCTTTTCTCCCACGCCAACCAAACGTGTGGGAAACCGTGCCGTTTTACGGTTTTCTAGTGCCAATCATCAATTGCACCCCTGAACTGAATTGACGAGATTACGGATCCAGCCCACACTGCCTTGTCCAGCACCTACCGAGATTTTCCCTGCGTACCAAGTACGAAAAAAAAGAAAAGCTGACGGGAGAAAAAGGGACGTCGTCGGTTCCTCAGTACCGAGCCACCGCGACCACGACGAGACAAACGTCAACAATTCCATCATCACCAACGTCTTCATCGGCTTTGCTCAGCCTCTGCCTAGTCAGCACCAACTTTTTTTTTAACCGCATTTGGGACCTTAATTCTGCCTGCATCATCACGCTCGCCCATCCCCAAGGCACCATCTTTCTTTAGCCTTTACCGCCCCTTAGGTACCTTTCATCGCCCCAAGGTACGTACGTGTTCCGTTCCGCGCGTCAGGAAAGCTAATTCCACGAGGAATGGAGCTGAAAAGACACATGGCCTGAACCACCCAAAATGTTTCAAATCCACCATTCTTCCTACAATACCAACACCATTCACCCTGCGCATGCATCCCGCTAACCCGCACCCGCTACTATAGAACACGGTCTTTTCCTGTGCGACGATCAACAAACCGTACAAAAGTCTCCCCCTGACATCCTGCATCTTCATCCACCTACTCTCCTCCACGACACCTTCCACCTTACCGACGCGCATCAATCGCACTTTCCGCATCCAACACCGACACCATGGCTCGCATCCAGATCCCCATCGACGCCCTGACGAACCGTCTCGGCCTGCAGGAGCGCTTCAACAGCATGCGTTCCGGTGGTTTGAGCGGCCGCTTCGCCAACCTGCGTCCCGTCGGCGAGTTCTTCGACATGAAGCGCCTCTCCAAGCCAGCCAACTTTGGCGAGGTTCAGTCGCGATGGAACTACAACCTCTCCTACTTCTCCAGCAACTACAGTGTCGTCTTCTTGATGCTCAGCGTCTACGCTCTGCTGACCAACTGGCTGTTGCTGTTCGACATCATCTTTGTCATTGCGGGCATGTTCCTCATTGGCAAGCTCGACGGTCGTGATCTCGAGATCGGCTCTTTCAAGGCCACCACATCCCAGCTGTGGACCGGTCTTCTCGTCATCTCTGTGCCCTTGGGCCTGTACGCCTCGCCTTTCGCGACGCTGCTCTGGCTCGTTGGTGCTTCTGGCGTGGTCATCCTTGGCCACGCTGCTTTTATGGACAAGCCTATCGATGAGGCTTTTTCCGGGGAGGCGGTCTAGATGGTCGGCCGCGAGCTCCCAAATTTGCGCCCCAGTGGGGAAGACCATCAAGGCGCGGGCGGAGGAAACAGGGAGCTGCGCAACAGGGGTCCTGGGAGGATGGGACGAGAGTTGTCGAGGAGCTAGAGGAGACGGAATTGGACAATTCAGATACACAAGGCGTTGGTTTGGTTTCGCGAGGGAAGCGGTTCGCAAGCGACCCGCTCCGCTTTACGGGTACAGACGTGGGTGACCGGACGACGGCATTGCGTAGAGGATACGACTACCAGCATTCGGATGATGACGAGCACGACAGCGAAGACGATAGCGAGGACTCGGAAGAGTCCTCCTCGGAAGACGACGAAGAAGAGGAAGAAGAGATTGATTGGGATCAGCTTTCTCCGGGAGAGCGGGATGAGGCGCTCGCGCAAAGAGCTCTAGCCCGCATCCGACGTGCACAAGAACGGGGCAAGCTCGAGGTCAACCTCAGCAAAGAAGAGATGGCCGCCCTGGAACGACGGAGGAAGCGCATTGAAAAGGAAGCACGGAAGCAGGAGCGTAAGCAGCGGCGCGAAAAGGAGCAGCGGTTCGCCATTCCACTGTCGCAATTCCAGCCAACCTCCTCTCGCAGAAGGTCGCCCACGTTGGCTTTGGAGGACGATCTACCCCGCCATCCGTCGCCTGGAACATTCGCCAATGTCCAAGACGGTGGCGCGATGCCGCCCATGGGATACTTCCCGCCGCCCAACGCTTCGCGCACCCGCCCTAGATCGGCAACTTCCGCCTCGCAGCGACCGACGTCTCGAATCATGGGCGAGAGGGGCTCGTCACCCTTCAACTATGCCTACGTCCAGGGGTCTCCAGGCCAGCGTTTGCCATCGGATAACATGTCGCCTGCTTCTTCGACCTCGTCTCTGCCCAAATCTCGAAATGGCGTCGACCCATTCCAGTTCCAGACGGAAGGTCCCGCCAGTGCCGCTCGACGCAACGTATCGGGCTCCACCGACGGGCGCCGAACATCCGTGGCGCCTCCGACGGGTCGAGGCGGCCGGGCTCCGCGCAGGCCGCCACCCGAGGAGAGTAGCAGCGAAGAGAGCAGTGAGGCGAGCAGCGAGGAAAGCACTAGCGACGGCATCGGAAACGGTGCTCAGATCGTCCAGCCACCGCAACGTCCGCCGTCATCCGGCCCGACTACACGAAGAGGCCGCAAGGAGGCTGTTGCCGTGGAGGAGGCTGCTGCCCGTGAACCGGCACGTGAGGTTTCGCGGGGGAAGAAGTCTGCCAACCCGTCGCCGTCGAAGAGAAAGCCTACCGGTGGTCGGCGCAAGAAGAAATAGTCCTTTCGCTGTCAAGAGCTGGGTCAAAAGTTGTCTGGTCTGCCGTGTCTAGTACCGATAATAGAAACAATACTCCGTATTTCCTAATGAACTTATTGCTCTCCCATTGCTGTACCCATCGTGCGTCCGGGTCGTTTCCGTGTACACGCCCTGAACCAATTTGTTCAATGGTCATAAATCGTATCTTGATATATCTAAGGTATATATGTAAATGCGCCATGCACGGTCTTAACGTGGCATATCTTTCCAAGGACCGTTTCCCAGGAAAATGCATGGGATGAACCAGAATGAGTAGTCAAATATCCCGTACCCAGAAAGAAAAACGCCCTTCAGACACACAAAGTGCTAAACAAAATGTCCACCCATACCAGTCATGATTCTTGCCCGATCCTTGTAAATGGAAGTTTAGACAAACATCTTGGCGACACCATTCATAAGCCCATCAGCCCAACCACCGCCGCCACCACCATCACGCTCAACACTCCTCCTCTCCCACGAGTAATCCCCATCATACCCCCTCTCAACATGCGCACGAGTAGCGGCACCACCGCCGAACCCGCCGCTCGCCATGCGGACCGCCTCGCCGACGAGGCCCATGGAGTCGCCCGAGGCTGCTTTTGCGCCGATGCCAATCATGCGCTCGATGCCCGGCGGGAGGCGGAGGCCGAAGCGGGCGAGGAGGGCGGTAAGGAAGCCGCCCGTGATGAGGGGCATGATGACGAGGGCGACGACCTTGTAGGGGTGCTTTTTGGCGTAGTAGACTAGGTCGCGCCAGAGGCGTTTGACTTGCTTGAGGGTCTTTTGGACGAAGCCGTTTCGCGGGGAGCGTTTGTAGTACGAGGGGCGACCTTGATTTTTGACACCATGTTAGTGTTGTTTTGTTTTTGGTGAGGTTTTGGGTTCTTGGGGAAGAGCCAATTGAGTTTCTTGAGTTGTAGAATAGCAGGATGAGGGGAGGCTGGGTTGAGGGCCCAATGGACAGACGTACCACCGCCGAAGCCGAAGAACGACGAGCGCGAAGCATTGGGAATACCGAAAAAGGAGCCGCGCGACGCGTTGTTCTTCTTGTAGTCGTCGCCGCCAAAGATGGAGGCGGCGATGCTGGGTGCGCTGTGGCGCTTGCTGCGGGAGCGCGAGGAGGAGCGGGAGCGGGAGCGGTGCTTGCTGCTGTGCTTTTTGGAGTGGTGGGAGGAGTGTCGGCGGGAGTGGGAGGAGCGGCCGGAGATGACGCTGCCCGTGGACAAGTCGAAGAAGCCCATTGTGATGTTGCGTGTGTTGCTTGTCTCGCGATGTCTCGCGGTGTAGGTGGTGTAGTAGTGGTGTGGGAGAGCTCTCTATAGTGGGAGAGCTTCTTGCTGGGTGGGTGTGGGTGGCTGAGACTATCCGTACAGAGACTAGGTCCGGGGTATGAGGTCGTGGTGGTAGATGGAGGAAGAAGAGGAACACAGCTGGGATCAAGCTGTGGGTGTAGGTGTGAGAGGCGAGCTCTTGTGGATGCTAGAGGGATTGGGAGGTGGAAGAGGGGAGAGGTTTGTGTAAGGAGTGAGAGAGTGGAACTGAGAGTGAAGAGTGAGAGCAAAAGCGAGAGACGGCGGAGAGCTATCGAGACGTGGAGGTGGTGAGACGGTGCGGTGGAAACCCACAGACGCCAAACCAGTCTGGGGAGGGAATTAAAAAACCCTTGTGCGAGGCTGGAGAATGCGACACTGTCTGGTTCGGGGAGTACGGTTTGCGGGATGGATGTGGCGCGTTACACGCGGAGATGAGTTTTACAGTCTCTATGGGTTTGTCTTGTCTTGAGTCTCGATGAGGCGTGTGGACAGAGCTGGCTATACTGTATTCGTAGCCTTATGACATGGGGTTTAATTGAACTGGATGGACTCGCCAGGGGAGCGATGTTGAAGCTCACGAACTGGTGGGAAGGTCGGAGGGGGAGGGGGAGGGGAAATTGGTTCGTGCTTTTGGTAGACGAGAGCCTAGAGAGACCGGGAGGCGAAGAATGGGGATAGATAGACGAGAGCGACGAGGGTACACCCTTGGTTTTGAACTCTCGATGGAGTCGTGTTGCTCGACAACTTCAGCCCAAACGTGGATATATCCTCGACACCTTGAACCCGATCGTGGATCTTTCAGGTGTTTGTTGCCAGCTTGTCAACAGTCAGAAGTCTTCAAGGGCCCAGGCCAGGTGAATTCGTAGGCTCTCGCAACTCTCTCGCGTGCGCAAGAACCAGGGTTCGTTTTCTTCACTGGATATGCAAGCGATTTCCGACGCAAGCAATCCGTTCGGCAAATGGCAAGATGTAGTGTGCGGACTGGGGGCTGAAAAGTCGTGAGTGGACGGGGAGCGGCGGAATGTGGGCATTCGCAACCAAATTTTTGGACTCTTCTGCGGACTCGATGCGTGGCCCTGCGTGCGTGTGTCCGCTTCCGATGGATAGAGAGAACAGGTCTGGCCAGGAGAGGAGCACAGGAAGCAGGTGTTGGACCTGTTGGTTTCTTTGGTTCGGCGAATGAGGGCGGCTCTAAATATCTAGATGCTGAAGAGAAGTGGACGGTCTCCAGTTGTATGAGTCTATCAGAGCCTGACTATGCAAAGTCCAACGTCTCGACTGTAACGTATCGATTGTCTGTTGTTTTGATTTTTCATTCACCGCTGGTTTGTCGCCCTGTGTGTGGCATTTCCTGAGATGTGCGTGACTCTTTTCGTATTTCCAACCTGATCCCCATTGATTGCTTTTGGTCTCACATATTCTTGGTACGTATCGAATGTGAAAGCGAAAGACCAAAAAGTGGAAGGCTGGGAATCGAGAAAACCGTCTGGACAGGGTTTCGTAGGGCCCCCCTCCCGTCTCTGCCAAGGTCGAAGCTACAGGAGCTTTGGTGCTCGACTGTGACCGGGGTAGTCCAAGCGCTAAACGGCTTTGGGCATGGCATCTATGGATGATCAGTTGCGGTCTGGTGGGGAGCATTGCGGATGGGATGGGATCGAGAAAGGGTTGACTCCCTCAACGGCAGAGGCTTTGAGTCTGAAGACTGCGTTGTTTACGTCGTGTATCTGAACCGAATCAGTCTGATGTCTTGGGGTTGGAATATCGAGTAGAGGAGCTCTCGGGTATGTTTCCTCGAGGTCCCGACGAAATGTCAGACACGTGGAAGTGGTGGCACTTGCTTAGCCTTCCAACCGTTCGTGACTGACTTGAGTCTAAAACTACATCTCAACCGCAGGCAGCGCTGTGTGGGTTGATTTTCCTCGAGCCAACACCGTAGGATTGAGAGAAAGCCTGCCATGTATGATCCACGAGGTTCTCCCTTCCTCAATGGTCAAGGGACTGTCCCAAAACGAAGACGACATTGTACTCGACGGACTACGTCTCTAGCCCAGAACAATGATGCCAGTCTATCGAAACGGACAAACATCAATTGCACTGGAGTTCCGCACTGCGGGCAAGCACTTTGAGGTACCGGCTATGGAAATCGTGGGAGCAAGCGACACCTGTGAGGCTATATCCTCTCTAGGATCCTGGAACAACTCTTCCTTCGCCTCAAACATCTCGGAACGTAGCTGCCGTCGACATATCAAGCCGCCATCGGCACATCAAGTTGCTTGAGCTCCTTGAACATTGTCAAAAGGAGTTGTTTCCTCGCCCTTGGTCTGAGCTATACTAGCTTATTTACTCACCTCAACATACTTGACTTCATCTTCCTCCCGAGCCTTCATTCCTAGTAGCCCAGCTCTTCGTTCCCAAAAGTCCAGAGAGATGATGCTCTCGCCTTTCCTCGTCCCCATCCTCCTCGGCATTCCCTCTGCCCTGGCATCACCCTCACCCTGTACTGCCGCAACAATCCAATGTCCCCTCGTCTTCGACGGCCGCGTCCCCGCCACAGCGACACCTCAGGACTTTGATACGGCCCTCGGCGGGGGATGGAATCCGTATAATCCAGACTACGTAAAGGGCGCGAACTTGTCTTGGTCGGACATCATCCTCCTGCCGGAGTCTGCTCCGGTCTCCACTCGACCCGGGTCACGGTCCTCCCGCTTCGATGCCGCGGAAAAGAGGCGTGCGATTGAAGTCACAATGTCCGATGCGAGCATTTTCATGAACCAGCGAGGGTTCCGGCGCGCGGGGTTGTTGTTTGCGGGGGATACGAATGAGGGGAGTGCTACGGGGGAGGGAGTGAAGACGTTGCATTTTAGTGTGAGGTTGGATTTGGAGAGGCCTTTGAATTTGACGCATGAGTATCTTGTAAGTCTTCTTCTGTGAATGCCTCTATTACTACGAGGAATCTGGGGACCAAGTTGTGAATGCAACTTTTGCTGGTATTCAAGCTGATAATCTTTGGGGGAAAACGTAGAATGTCTGGCACGAGACGGCGGCGTACGATGCGAATCAGCTCAATTTCCAGACTGGCACCATCATCGGCCAGCCGGGTTTGCCAAAAGATACGTTCAAGTTATTGGATCGAGATAATAAGCTTCTCTGGTCGGCGCTGATGGCGATGGACGGGTCGTGGCAGAACTTTGCGCTCACGTTGGACTTTTCGAACAAGTGAGTCAAGCCACTCTCACTCCTGCTTTCCTTATTACTCATCAAAACACGTTTGGTGATCGCGAGAAGACATATTGGCTGACAGTTTGCCTCCAAGTACAATCCAGCTATGGTACTCTGCGGGCGACAACCCGCTCGCGAGGCAGGGCAGTGTCGTTTCGGTTAATCTCGCCGGCGACGGGCAGTACCAGATTGGCATCTTGAAGAAGCCGACGGGTACCGATGACGTGGTGAACTCCGGGTATGAATCGAGCAACCTGAATGAGGGTCTGGTTTACGGTGGGATATTCATTGAAGATAGCGCCTATGGTTGTGTGTCTATCTAAGAGGCTGCTCATCTTTACTTCTCTCGTAGTGAGCCCATCTCTATACTCCCCAAGTCTAGAGATTCCCTTCTAAATCTACATCTCCCAATCTATAGCCACCATCTCTATATCGCACTTCGTAAACGGACCTCTAAGAATGCCAGAACTCTAAATCTACCCTTTCTCACCGAGCACTTGGGGAGGGTGCGTGACCCCAGTGCCCCCAGAGAGGCTTATTCTTGCACATTCACGGCAGTAAAGCTCGCCTTCAACGGAGCGATGCTAATGACGCCATGAAGCGAAGCCCACAGGTCCTCACCCTCGGGGCTCTCCTCAGCTTGTCGCTTGATATCACCAAGCTGCGGCGCCCACCGAAACTGGTACGTACGAGACGGCGATGCCGGCGCCGACATGGCCAACTTTTCAGGATCGGCAGCAGAGTCCTTGAGCACGGGAACAAACAAGCCCCCCGTGACCCATCTCCCCTCCGCAGTCTTGGTCAACCTCACCGGCGCCTCACCGACGTCGGCGATCATGGGCACATTGACGCTATACACCTCCACCTGCGGGTGCCAATCCCTCACGAGCTCCTCCACGAGCTTCACAGCACGCACGCACGCCGCGCGGATGGTCGTTGCGGGTTGCGGGTCCTTACTCCCGAAGCTGAGGGCCACGGCGCGGCGCCCGCACTGCGCGGCCTCCAGGGCGCCGCCGACGGTGCCGCTGCTGAGTGCGTAGACGGTGCTCGCGTTGCGGCCGTGGTTGGGGCCTGATATGACAAGGTCAAAGTCTTGCGGTGTTAGGCCGGGTGTGTGGAAGAGGCCTAGCTGGGTGCAGCTTGCTGGGGGCCCGTTGACGATGAGCCAGCGGTGGGTGCGGTCTTCGGTTTCGGCGCAGCCGGGGATGTTGCAGTCGTCTGCGGAGAAGGACGCTGGGCATCTGCTTTCTGCGGTCAGGGTCTTGCCGACGGCGTGGGCTTTACCGATCCACGAGAGCGGCTTGTCGGGGATGACTACGACGGTTGAGTGGCCCGCCTCGTTCAGGGCGGCGATGAGGGGTGCCAGGTAGGGCGAGACGGGGGACGGGGGACCGTCGTCGTTGACTACCTACGGACACGGAAGAGAGAGAGGCGTACTCATCAGCTTATTTGATGTTCCCCCCGTACGTTGTAACTATGTAAGCCGGGTATAAAACCACGCATTGTGCGAGTGTGCGTAACCCGGCCGGGGCGGGGGGGAGATGGTAGGCCATTTTATTTACCAAGAGCCGCATTGTCGCACGTCGGCGATGTCCTAAGGACAATGAGGTCCGAAGAACACAAAGAGATGGGAGTTGATATGCCGAGGTCAGGCAGCACTATATTGGCAAATCTGACGCCGCCGCGTTTGGGTTGTCTGATGCCTCTCTCTTCTGGTGGGTTTTGATGGGGTAGTGCCGTAGCCGGTAATGGTGGTAGGTAGATCCAAAGGCAGGCTGCCGCCGAGCCGCAGCAGTGACGGACAGAAGAATGCAGAAGCAGGGATCAGGAGAAAAGAAGGCAACCGAGGGCCAAGATCAGGCTGCCCGGCTGTGGTTCCGCGGATGAGGCAGACGAAGAAAAAAAAAGGTGGTGTAAAGGAGAGTTTCTGGGACAGACTGTAGCTGGGCAAAGTATGACGCGCGCGCTTCGGTCACTCAAAAGAGGGAAACATGAGAAAAGGGCTGTCCGGGTTGGATTAGAAGAGACAACACCAAACGGGGGTTTACAGGAAAAGCCCCGATGTAAGGTATGACTCTTACCGTGGTCCATGGTGGTCCACGGGAGAACCCACAGGGCTGGTATTATCTGTGTTTACCTACACCATTTGGTCGGCGTAAAGAAGGGTTTGTTTTCTGTCGTATCCTGTCATGTGGCACGGTATTGACTTTGTCCGATGATTCTGAAAAGAACTGAAAATCGGTGCCCCCCCCCCCCTTCCTCCTCCTCCTCCATCCCGGTCCAGTTCTTGTCTTTCGGTTGACCCCGCCGACCACGGAGCACGGCAGCGCCGTATCGGATGGATCTACGACCGGGACCAAGGTTGAGTGCACGAGAAGGGAAAGTCGAGGTAGATGAAGGTGGGATCATGCTTCCAATGTTTGGATCAAGGCCACAGTCCACACACACACACCATGATAAATCATGATAAATGCGACTCAGAAGCAGCCATAGAACTTGGCACGCTTGTGGGCTTGCGGGAAGAGAGAGTTGGACATTGGGACGAGGCGTTCCGGATCGGTGGTGCGCCTTGCAGTTTGCCCAACGTGAGCTTCGGCAGGCTCTCTCCTCACCTCTCTCTCACACTCTCTTCTCTTGGTCCACCACACACTCGCCCTGTCTCTATGAGGTATAGACTACGAGATGGTGTAGTGGAGAGGAAGCACTTTACACCCTGCCCATGTACCCTCCTCATAGACATACCAACCTTGCCATATACGGACGAAAGATGGAAACCAAACATTGGGGAGGAGGAAAGAAAGTGTCTACATCATTGGACGAAATGCGTGCGAGAGAACCCAGAACCGGTGTAAGCCGCCATCTGCCGCCCTATATCGGAGCCCTGGAACTCCCTTCCCCGGCGCCAACTTCCTGCTGTAACACACCGAAAGGCGTGCACGTTTCCCCTTGCCTAGGGGTCTGGTTGGTCCATCAGTCCCCTGGGCTACACTAAGGAAAGCACCGCGCAGCTGCCACAGCAGAAACACACAGTGACGGAAGCTTTCCTCTCGTCCGCTCGTTCCCACATACACACTTACACACACACCCTTCGTCAACCACATGCCAACAAGACAGACAGACAGTCAGACAGACAGCTCCAATGAGCCTGATCAAGGCCCAGCCAAGCAACAGCAGAGCCTCGTCTTGCCAACCCAGGCAAACAATACCTTATGAAGGGCCTCCCATCCCCTCCCCAGCCTGTTTGGGGCACTCACTTCCTCTTCTTGCCACACCTCTCGGCAAACTCACTCCAACACAGCCTTCTTGAAATACAGTAGGCATTTAATCATCAAAGTCACCTTGACATTGCAAACTGGTATGGCACACTGGTATAACATCAGGAACAATACCCCATTCACATGGGCCGGGCAATCGGCCGACGACCCCTTCAGCCAACAACAATGGGCAGCAGCAGCAGCAGCAAGCCATGATGGCTCTTCTGCTCAGCCCATCGGTCCCGCTGGCCTCCTGAGCACCGATGCCCCTAGAAACGACGAGTCCTTGATCAAGTGAGTTGAAAACCTTGTTGTCTCCTTTGCCCGAGACGTAGTCATAGTCATAGTCTAACATTCGTCCAGGGACTTTTACAACGAGCTTCAAGATGATGTCCATCAACCCGGCGTCTCCGGTCTATCGTCCACCTGGCCGCCTACTCACATGGCCGTGGCAGACCAGAACGATCTTCCCTTCGACCTCGCCATTGATAATGGCATCGACCTCGATGCCGCTAAACCCGCATCGTCGGAGCTGGCCCGAACAAGCAGCCAGGCGAGCTCGTCCGGCATCGATGAGGAGGAATCTGTCGTCTTCAGCCACGCCGGCGACTTCAGTAGCGGTGTAGGCTTCGATGATAGCTTTGGACAAGGCTTCTTTGGCAGCATCAACAGCCCGAGCACCACCTTCTCCGATGCCATCATGTCTACGAACCACTCCCTGGAGAATAGTCCCATCGTGAATACCAGATGCCCTTTTCTCAGCATGCAGGTAGAGAGTCCTGTTTCTGGCGCTTCGTCGGCGACGGCGGCCAACACCCCGCAATCATCCGTACTTGGCGTCGATGATGCCTTTTCTGACATTGGGTTTGCTTCCGCGGATACGCCAAGAAGCGTGCCGGGCTCGCATGTCAGCGCCCTGTCGACTGGCTTGGCGAACCAGACGTCCGTTTCGGCTGGCTTGAGTCTAAGTCCTACTTCGCCATTCTATGATCGCTGGGATTCTGATGTCGGGGAAGGGAGGGTTGACGACTTGGACGCTCTGATGTGGGGTACTTCGTCGCTTTCCGAAGGCTTTATCCCGTACAACGCGAACCAGTTGGGCCCGTCCTTGGTTATCGTTCCACCCGATATGCCCGACATTCACATGGGCGACTATGGCGATGGCGCGACTCCCGACGCGCCTTCGTCCTCGCAGACACATCCCATCGACTACTACCTCAATGAGATGTACGCGCCTCCTAGACTGACACAACCTCGGAGCGTCCCAAATACATCGGCAGCACAGAACCCTGCCGTAACCGCGGCAAGTGGCCTTCTTGTCCCTGGTGTGATCCCGGGTAGAAGACTTAGGAGACGATCAGACCCGGTCCGTATGGATGCCGTCATCAGAGGACAGGTTCCCAGACTTCAATCATCCATGGGCAGTACCACTCCTGCATCGCAACGCAGAAGCCCCGTTCAACGTACCACGGCTCAATTTCTGTCTGTATCTGGCGCTTCTAACTTCCAGAGATTGCGTCCCTCCGAACCACCGAGGAGGTCAGGAGTGACAGAGCCCATGCCCATCGTGGCCCGCCCAAGACGGTTGAGCAACAGCAGCAGTAGCAGATCCTCTGATACGCAAAGCCTCGTGGGCCGGCCCGGTCGGTCAGGCCCAGCTCGCGGGCGCCGCCACGGCCCGATGGACCCCGTTTCTCGTGGACAGGCCAAGGAGACGCGGAATAAGAAGATGGTGTGCATTCGCTGCAAGCACTCCAAGCAAAAGGTAAGCACCCGTAGCTGGCTGCCCGTGGTGCTGTTTACTAACTTGTACTTAGTGCAATCGAAGCGATGATTCCTCTCAGGGCTCTTGTACCGGATGTGACAAACATGGCGGCTCACAAAGATGGCCAGGACCCTGTGTCAGAGCCCATTTTGAGGACCTCATTCAAGCAGGAACGTGTAATTACATCTGTAAGTCATCTTTGGAACTCCGATATCTCCACGTGAAAATTAACCACCAAGCAGCACAACACGCCATCTATCACCCGACCCTCGACAACAAGACGCGAATCCGCAGAGAGCTCCCCAGACAAATCCAAATCGACAACCTCATCCACAGAGTAAACCGCGCGCGAAGCCGGTTCAACTTGCGCGTCCACCAAGACGGCCGCCCCATCTACGTCCTGGACCTCGATGCGTGCCACGATTACCTCCACGGCCTCCGACAGCAAATGGACGCGAGCGAGTGCAGCTTTCAGGCCTTCATCGACCGAGAAATCCTGCGCGTCGATCCCAAAACAGACGACTGGGAGCGCTGCATGACCCAGCTGACGACGTCGCGAGAGGACCCGCTTGCCTTGCTCTGTCTCGTCAACAACATGCCCAGCCGCGCGGGCTTCTCGTACGTTTCCAAGCAGCAGTTCACGCCCATGGGCACACCCATGGAGCAAGCCCTGAACCCCGAGAATCCGCTCGAGGCGGAGAACCTCGTCCTCGCGGCCCAGCTTTCGAAAATCATGTGCCGCAAGCTTGAGGTCAAGGCCTACGGGAGCCTGCAGCGTCTCCTGCACGAGTCGGGAAACATGGACGACGACAAGGTTCTCCCGTTTTTGCAGAGGCTCGGTCGGATACTCCTGACGCTGCGCTGGCGGCTGTCGTGGTGGGCTGTAGTGCCCGGGGACGCCGCCGCCGTGTACGATCAGGCGGACGATGAGGTACGGAAGCAGGCTGTTCACGCGCGAGCGCAGTCGCTGTGCCGGATTCTCTACTTTTACTACTGCTGCGTGCGGAGGAGGTTGCCGGTGTGGACGAATGTCGATGCGCTGAGGGGTATTCACTCGCGGTACCCGGACACCGAGGCTGAGATCTGGGATGATTTTCCTGGGAACGAGAGCGTTGAAGGCTTCGTGGCGTGGATGCAGAGAGGCACGGGGCTGATTCGCGAAGCTGGGGTGTTGAGTCGATTGCGCGCGATGGGGTTGACTGCGTGAGAGAGAGAGAGAGAGTGTGTGTGTGCAACTTTTGCTTCCTTCCCTTCTGGGCGATTTGCTTTTTTCCCTTGCCCTGTAGGATTCGCTTCTTATACTTTGTTTTACGTGGTCTTGGTCATGATGTTTTCAGCGATGTAGGCGTTTGGAGGCCTTTTGCTACAAATTCAGGAAAGGGGATAACAGCACGCTCGTTGGCAGATGTTACTTGAGATTTATCTAGGCGTTCTATTTTGGGGACTATATGAGATACCATAGAGGAAACGGGCGTAATTGGGCGGTATAGCAAGCGTCTGTCTTTTCTGGACAAATCAAATGATCTTTGTCTTTCAATGCCATATTTGAATTGTTCTTGTGAGGGATGAGGGAATGCGTGTGACACGCTGGAGGAATGGACTGGAAATCGAAGTCTGGCGCACTCTAGGTGCTACCGTTTGCTTGATTGTATGACACCCAAGTCTCCATTGAACTCATCCGAATGAAATATTGAATCTATCTCGCAACTTGAGCATGCCGATCGCTGGCATCAAATATCAACCCAGAAGTCGTTTATACGACACAGCCAACCCCCCCCCCCCCTCCAACTGTGTAGAAAGAATGTCAATTGAGCAAACAGGGCTGAGTAGAGCTTCATGATGGGTGTCGATCAATGTCTCAAATCACATCAGCTACCTCAAGGTACCTTATTTACCTCAGTCCGTACCGGTACAAAGTGAAAGAGAAAATGCCAATTCCCGTCACGTGTGTCTCTGCCTGGAGTAATCGGTGCAGATACGGAATACGATCCGGGGGACTCAGCCCCGGCTGCGTCCAATGGCGAGCTTCGGTGGGGGGGGGGTGCGCCGGGTGGGGCCGCGATTGGCCGCTTGGCCCGCTTGGCCGCTTGGATCCATTGCCCGGCGGTGATCGGCCTCGCACGGGATTGGGGTTGCTGGCCTCATAGTAAGGTAGGTAGGTAGTCTTGATAGGACGATGTATGTGTGGGGTTTTTGGGAAGTAAGGAAGTCGGGACAATTCGATGCTTTATATTTCTGTATAAGTATAGGCTTGTTGTCTCTCCAACTTTTGTGGTGGCCCACATGAATTGCAAACACCCTTTTCTTCAAACCCCCCACAGCATTTTGAACTGCGAAGAGATATCCACTACTTTGGAATATCTCAAGATTGAGAGAGTCACGCTGCAAGTTTTTCTACACGCACAATCAAGAAAGAAAAAGACAGTATGAACTTCACGGGCAGAAAGAGCGACGTCAAGAAGGCAGACGTGGCCAACATCCCGCCGGAGCTATCAGACCTGCACTGCTTCACAGAAACGGGCGGCGTCATCACAACCAGTACGTCGTCCGCATCTCCCCCCTCCCCCCCCCCCCATCACTTACCTTACCTTATACACTCCACATACGTTACACAGCAGCGATGCTTACACAAGGGCAGCAATGTTCGACATCCCCGGCTACCGCGTAACGCGCACCCTAGGCGCAGTCTACGGCCTCTCGGTGCGCACGCGCAACATCGCCGCGAGCCTGGGCATGGCCATCAAGTCCCTTGCGGGCGGAGAGCTGCGGTGGTTCACGACGATGCTGTATAACTGCCGCAACGACGCGCTGGGCAGGGTCGTGAGCGAGTGTAAGCAGAGGGGGGGCAACGCGATTATTTGTTTGCGGTTTGATGCGTCGGACTTGGGTGGGTTCGCGCAGACGTGTGCGTATGGGACGGCGTGTGTTGTTGAGAAGGTTGAGGGCGGGGAGGGGGTTGCGCCGCAGCTTGGGGGGGGAGTTGAGAGCATGTGCAGCGCCGGGGAGTGAGAGGGGAAGGAAAGGGGGAGAGGAAGGATGAGGTGAGGTGAGGTTGTCGTGGGGGTTGAGCTTGGCAGGGTGAAGGGTTTTTGTTTCATGGAGGCCTGAGGTAGCTGGGGAGGAGTGAGTTTTGATACCACTGCGTTGTAGTTGATGTTATTTTGAGAGGTAGCTGAATCGAGAACGTTGACAAGTCAAACATGTTTGGACAGCCAAGTATAAATCGCTCTGATACGGAGACCATGGATACAATGGTGGTCTGTTGTCGATGACCTGCACTTGATGTCGTGATGTTTGTGCATGAGTGAGGACCGGATGGACTGCAATTGAGGATCAGATGAGAAGCAGTGGTGGCCAATGTCTGGGTGAAGAATATACCTCTCATTGAGTCAATGGAGATGAGAACATGGACCTTCCTCAATTGGGAACGTTTGGCTTGCAGATGGAAGAAACGGAGGTGCAGATGCCGATAAGGCAAGATAAAGATGGCTTAGCTAAGACCTGCTGCATTCGAACAAGTAGACGAGACACCCTGCTAACTGCCCCCGGCTAGCTCCGAAGAACCATTGAAACGGGCCAAGCCCACTTGCGAACGCACTCCGCATCCGTCTCCCACAGCGGTGGTACTCGACATCCAGGCCACCTTCGCCAGGGGACCCGCCACTAAACCCAAGCCAACGGGTGCACCTGTGGACCACTGGGCACCCAAGGTCCCAGCTCCCCCAAGTACCCAGACAGGTAGGCATTCGATGTATTACCAAGTGCTCTTTGTTCGTTGACTCGCCTCCACGGCCTCGGCCTCGGCCTCGTTCACGTCCACTCCACGATCCTTCGCACCTACACAACTATCCCCGTCATTCCCCCTTCTCCTCTCACCCACGGGTGCTTCTCGTATCCCCTTGCGTGCTCGTCCTACTCTTCCGACGACCCTCCTGCAATACCACCAGATACGAATCCTCCGGTCCATGGGGTGTCGTTGCGTCCTCTTATTTCCAAAAGAGGGCTGAAGCTGCCTCGAGACAGCATGCCGTTTCAAGTCACCGCGCAATCCACCTAGTTTCGATCCCATCTTTCTTTAGCTTTGCCATCTGCTGCCCTGCTGCCCTGCTGCCCTCTCCCCTTGGCAAAGCTTACCCCCCGGACGGAAGAACCGAACGTACCGTCAAACCCTCCCGACCGACGAACTGATAACTCTCTCCGTCTCCGTCCTCCGACACCATGGACGCAGCACCAAGCGCCTCCGCTGCCGAGGACTTCAGGATGTCCCACGAATCATCCCTCTCGAGTGTGTCCACCACTAGTCTCGTATTCGACCGCCTGCACGAGCAGAATGAAAAGTCATACTCTTCATCTTCCCAGAGGCGCCGCGCCCCCTCCGTCTCCCGCCCCGCTTACGCCGACCACCCGGACGACGACGATGACAACGATTACAAAGAGTCCGACGCCAATGATCTCGAGACGGGGCCCTTTTTGGCGCCCACGACGGGCATGATGCGCCGTGTAGGCATGGACCGCGGGCTGAAGAAGGGAATATGTATTCTGGCAGCTGCATTCCTCCTCGCATGGGGAGGTGCTCTGTTCGTCTTCTTGTCCCGCAAGTCATACCAGCACGGCAGTCAGGTTGACCACGACCCCTCTGCGACATCGCGCGGGTCCGGCAAGCCGGTAACCTTGGACCAGGTCATGACCGGCTTCTGGTCACCCTACTCTCACTCAATAAGCTGGATCGAGGGGCCTAATGGAGAGGACGGCCTGCTGCTCGAGCAGGGTGCCCGGGGCAAGGATTATCTCGTGGTCGAGGACGTCAGGGCGGGCAAGCTGGACCGCCAGGTTTCCGCCGAGGTCGTCCAGAGTCGCACGCTCATGAAGAACCCTTGGATCAACGTTGGTGGCCGCCAGATGACGCCGTACGACGGCCGTCCGAGCAAGGACATGAAGAAGGTGCTCGTTTCGACCGATCGCAAGCACAACTGGCGCCATTCCTTTACCGCGCTGTACTGGATTTTCGACGTTGAGACCCAGACCGCTGAGCCTCTCGACCCCGAGCATTCTGACGCACGTGTGCAGCTTGCGACGTGGAGCCCGCAGAGCAATGCCATCGTCTTCACTCGAGACAACAACTTGTTCTTGAGAAAGCTGGACGGTGACAAGAAGGTCACGCAAATCACAAAGGATGGTGGCCCGGAGTACTTTTACGGCATTCCCGACTGGGTCTACGAGGAGGAAGTCTTTGCCAGCAACAGCGCTACCTGGTACTCCGAGGATGGCAAGTACGTTGCCTTCTTGCGCACCAACGAGACGGGTGTGCCCGAGTATCCCTTGCAGTACTTCATGTCCAGACCCTCGGGCAAGGAAAAGCCCGCCGGCGAAGAAACCTACCCGGATGAGAAGCGCATCAAGTACCCTCGCGCCGGTAGCCACAACCCCGTCGTAGACCTGCTCTTTTACGATGTCGAGCGTGGCGACGTGTTTGCCGTAGACATCGAGGGTGGTTTTGCCGATGACGACAGACTCATCAACATGGTCCTCTGGGCGAACAACAAGGTCCTCATCAAGGAGACCAACCGCGTGAGCGATGTCATGCGCGTGGTTCTCGTTGACGTTGTGGCTCGAACAGGCAAGACTGTAAACACCATTGACGTCGGCAAAATCGACGGCGGCTGGTTCGAGATTTCTCACGAAACCCAGTTCATTCCCGCGGACCCTGCTAATGGAAGACCGGAGGATGGTTATGTCGACACTGTGATTCACGATGATGGCGACCACATTGCATACTTCTCACCCATGGACAACCCTGAGCCTGTTTACCTCACGGGTGGCAACTGGGAAGTCGTAAACGGTCCCTCCGCCGTCGACTTGGCCAACAACTTGGTCTATTTTGTGTCTACCAAGGAGTCCTCTATCCAGCGTCACGTCTACAGCGTCCACCTTAACGGCTCCGATCTGAAACCGTTCACGGATACTAACTTCGAGAGCTACTATGACATCTCCTTCTCTAGCGGCGCAGGCTTCGGTCTTCTCTCGTACCTGGGCCCCAAGATCCCTTGGCAGAAGGTGATCAGCACTCCAAGCAACCCCACCAGCTATGAGCATGTCGTCGAAGAGAACACACAACTTGCTGAAAACGCAAAGAAGTACGAGCTCCCCATCCTCAAATACGGAACCATCAAAGTCGACGACGTCGAGCTCAACTATGTCGAGCGCCGCCCTCCCCACTTCAACGAGAAGAAGAAGTACCCGGTCCTCTTCCAACAGTACTCCGGCCCGGGATCCCAGTCCGTGAGCAAGAGGTTCTCCGTCGATTTCCAGTCCTACATCGCCTCCGCCCTCGGCTACGTCGTCGTCACGGTAGACGGCCGCGGCACCGGCTACATCGGCCGCAAGAACCGCGTCCTCATCCGCGAGAAGCTGGGCCACTGGGAAGCCATTGACCAGATCGCCGCCGCCAAGCACTGGTCCGCCCTCAAGTACGTCGACTCGGCCCGCATCGCCATCTGGGGCTGGAGTTACGGCGGCTTCCAGACCCTCAAGACGCTCGAGATGGACGCCGGCCAGACGTTCAGCTACGGCATGGCCGTCGCGCCCGTCACGGACTGGCGCTTCTACGACTCCATCTATACGGAGCGATATATGCGCACACCACAGCTCAACGCGGACGGCTACGACCAGACGGCCATCTCCAACGTCTCCGCCCTCGCCGGCAACGTGCGCTGGCTGATGATGCACGGCGTCTCGGACGATAACGTGCACTACCAGAGCACCCTCACCCTCCTCGACAAGCTCAACCTCGAAGGCGTCGAGAATTACGATGTCCATGTTTTCCCTGATAGCGACCACGGTATTTACTTTCATAATGCGAACAAGATTGTCTACGATAGTGAGTCTACTCCACCCCAGATGATAATCTGGAGAATCGAATCCATGCTGACCGCCTCCCAGAACTGAACAACTGGCTCATCAACGCCTTCAATGGAGAGTGGCTCAAGGTCGCCGACGCCAAGCCAATGATTGAGCCCAAGGAGAAGGAGAAGAGGTCGAGCGTAGCCAAGCTTGACGGTGTACCACGTTCTTAATTTTATTTTCTGGCTGATCTAAAGATGGAGTTATTGGAGCGAAATATCAACCATGTCACTTGATGAAGCCGTTGCTTTGATAGAATCTACTTAAGCACGTGCTCGTCAAAACGCAATTTTCAAACCGGACGTGTTGTGTTGAAGATGTTTGCTGCTGCAGCTGAACCCCTCCTTCCAGATGTGATGCCATTGATGGGATGTGGACTACCTATTGATAGTGCAGGGATCGAGGTGGATAACATGGTGGAGGACGTTCAGTCTTTAGTCCACATGCTCATGCCAGGAGACACGCAGACACGCCGATTCACACGAAGAACAAGGTACACCATTCGTCATCAGAAAGAGTCAACTTTAAAAGAACTATCATACAGTTTTGGGCTCGGGCGACAGGCTCGCGATATCCCTGAATCGGTCCAGCAATGGCAAGAGTCTAGCGTAGTGTGTGCACATAGGAAAAATAAGGCACCACCCCCATAGTTTCCCTTCGCGTAACACAGTCCGTCCGCCTGCCTAAAATGCTCATCCATCCAGAGAGCAAAGAAGATACGATTACAGGAAGCCCTTTGGTTATCTCAACGCCATCGTCCGCGTTCATTGAATTTTAAAGGCGCCGGTGAGTAGACCCCACCAGCCGCCAGATACCTCATGCCGCCAAAAATAATAGACCGGGGATAAAACTGTGTGGCCCTATCATGTAGCCTCGCTTGAGGCACAGAAATCCAACCACGTTCTGGTGTCCTCATCTAGAATCCAAAGCCAGTAGGCTGGGGAGCGAAGCCGTTTGTCTGACCATAGGGCGCGGGAGGAGCGCCCATACCGCCGGGACCGGCAGTGATCATGAGGCGGTTGCCGCCGAGAATGGGAGTGTTGGTCTCGTCCTTCTCCTGCTCCTTCTCCTTGCTCTTGCGAGCCTCGTTGTCGGCCTTGAGAGCGGCCAAGTCCTTAGTCTGCTGGCACAACATGTTGATCATGTAAGGCATGGCGAAGTCGGTGAGGCCGCTGCGCCAAGAGATCTCCAGGACCAAGTCGGGGCGAATGAGCTCGTAGCAGGCGTAGAGCATGCCGACGTAGCACTCACGGCTACCGATATCGACGAACTGTGACATGTCAGTATTCAGAAGCGTAGTCATGTAGGGTGAAAGCAACTTACGTAGCGGAGCAAGTCCTCCACGACATCAGTCTTGCCTGAGATGGCGGCCGTCTCAATGGCATCCTTGAAGAGCTTGTCCTGCTTGGAAAGAGCAATGGACTTCTCCCAGCGCTTGTTCTTGCGGTAGATGCTGGCAGCGATCTGGCGGAAGAAGATCAAGTCGTGCTTCTCCAGACGAGAAGCAAGGTCGACGGGGTCGTAGTTGTCGTAGTTCTCCACAGAGTCGCGAAGGGTCTTGTAGTCCTCCTCCTCGATCAACAAGTCGTTGATGGCGTTGTTGACGGTGCGCTTGTTCTGAGTCTGGACATTGACGAGGAAAGGCTTGATGAGCGGTAGGTTATCGCTCTTCTCGAACATCTTGACAACACGGTTGACGTCAATGCGGGCAGTAAGCGACTGAAGGAGATCGGTGAGCAGGGACGGGTGCTGCTCAAGGTAGAAGTTGATGGCGCGGTAGTAGATCTCCAAGTTGGCCACCTTTACGACAATCTCCTTGAACTGCTGGTGCTCCCATGAGTTCTCAGGGCGCTCAATGACCGCCAGAGCAGCGTTGTCGAATTCATCGTAGTGGTAGTAGCAGAAGACCAGCTCGGGCCAGAGGTTTGCCTCCTCGCAAGCACGGATGATCTTGGGCAGGTTCATTCTGCTCCAGAAGAGCTTGAGGTGCTCCATCAGGCGCTCCGGGTGGTACTTGGACAAGGCAATGCCAAGCTCGGTGAACATACCCATGTGGGCACGCTCAAGGCCAAGACCCTGTTCCAAGACTCCAATGAGCTCATCGAAGTAGCCGTTGCGCTCGTACTGCTTGACAAGGGTCTGCAATTGCTCGGCATCAACAATGAGGTTGAGACCGCAGATCTGGGCAAGACGGAACTCCTTCTTCTCGACGCAGGCCTCGTGAACCTGCTTCCAGACCTTGATGTTGTTGGCCTTGCGAGCGCACTCAACGGCAGCCTGATACTCCTCGAGGTGGACGAGGGTGGTTGCCAGCTTGGCCCAGTTGGAGATGCTGGTGAAGAAGATCTTGGAAGCCTGGTACAGGCCTTGCTCATACGCCTTGTCTCCAGACTCCTCAATGTTGGCAACGTTGGTACCGCGAAGGAAGTCCTCGAGCTCGCCGAGCTCATCCAGACGAGCGTAGCAGAAGGCGAGAGCAGTGTCGATGGCAGGCTCGCGCAGCGTTTTTCTGGCCATGCGAAGGTACTTGATAAGATCCTGGTCCTTGCCGGCGCGGGCAGCGGTCTCGATAACCTCTTCGTAGTTCTTGGGGTCATCGGCCTTGATGTAGGACTCAATAGAGTCGGTGACGCGCAGGCCATCAAGCTGAGCCTTGGCGACCTTGCTCCAAACCTCGGGCAAATCGACCTCCTCGGCGTAAGCTTGGGCACGGTCGATGCTAACGACGTTCTCTACCAAGACATCAACAGCGGAAGTCTTGTCACCAGTCTTCTTAAAGATCTCGAAAGCCTCCTCGTGGAGACCGACGTCGATACAGGCTGATGCAATGTCCGGCGCGCTGAAGTTGTCCATACGGTGGATGTAGTCCATAACTTTACCCTTGTCGGCCTTGGCAGCGGTGAACAGAAGCAAGTTCTGAAGGTTAGTGTTGTCACTGAAAGGTGATGGCTCGAGAACAATCTTCTCAAGCAGTTCAATGAGCTCAAGAGGAAGATCGCAGGCAAGGAAGGCGGCAACAGCCTCAGAGACCTTGGAGGGATCGGTGGACTCGGGAACCGCGGTGGCGGTCACTTGGTCAATCACGGAACGGCGATGAATGTTGTTCTCGCTGAGGACAAAGGTCCACAGCTCGCGGTCAGCCCGCTCGAGCAGGTATCGAGCTTGGTTGCGGTACATGCCGTTCTCGTTGGTAATGTTGACGAGCTCAAGGTCGTTCTGACCCTTGGAGTAGGCGATGAAGGCAAGGTTGGGGTCACGCTTCTCACAGTATTTACCGACGCTGAGGGTGTCATACTGGTCGTTCTCCTTGAGGAACTTCTCGGGGTTGTTGTTCGAGTCAATGTAGATCTTGGCAAGAGCGTTGAACACGGCCTGCTGCTGGTTGCCGGCAGCGAGGGTTGCCTCGAGGAAGGGAAGAAGAAGTTTGAGACGGTTGCGAGACTCAACCTCGGACACGAGCTCATCGATGGGGATAGAGGCGGGGTTGACGGTCGACAGCAAGTTCTTGATGATGCTCTCATCGCAGTCAACATCCAACAGGCCACCGATGACAGCGGGAGTCCGGCTAGGGTTGACACGCTGGACGTAAGTCTCGATGGACTGGAACTGCTGCTGCTGGTACAGGTAGAGAACCAAGTCGTGGACGAAGTTGAATCTGTCGCAGACGATAATGAGAGGCAGCTGCTCCTGAAGTCTGGCTTCCTTGAGGAAGTTCTTGACCTTCTCTGCGTTGTAGTAGTTGCTGTCTCTGCAAATACGCTCAACCTCGTTGAACTGGCCCATCTTGGTAGCAGACTCGATGTACTTGAAGTGAACATCGGGGTCCTCTGAAAGGTTGACAATGCTGCCAAGGTAGTAGAAGAGACCCTCAGCAGTCTTGTACTTCTCGAAGAGATCAATCAGGCGCACGGGACCCAGCAAGTCGGAGTACTTAGTGGCGATCTGGACCACCGCTTGCAGGTTCTGGCGGATGTTGTGCTTGATCATGGCATCCAAGCAGTCCAGAGATTGCTCAACGGACAGCTTGCCAAAGAAGCCGGTCAACCAGTCGATGTTGAAGTTAGGGGTGGCCGCAATGTTGATAACGACGCGCTTGACGGCAGCGGGGTCCTCGTAGAGCTCCAATGCCTTTTGGGCCAAACCGGCCTGTTCACAGAGTGTTGCGATGCGAGTCTTGTCAAAGTGGGAGAACATGTCATTTCCGAGGATAGCATCGGCAACCTGGGGAGCATTCATCAAGTTCATCTCCAAGAGACGAGTCTGAAGATGGCCCTGGTCAGGTCTGTTGTCCTTGAGCGCATCCAGCAAGAAAGCCGTGGCTTGCTGAATCATGCCCTGAGACTGGAAGATGTCAACCACTCTCTCGATATCGACCAGGGAACCGCCCTCGTTGTTGGCCAAGGCTGTGGCGAATTCGGCACCCTTCTCCGGGTTGACACGAACGATGTGCTGGAGAAGTTGGACGTAGTCGGGTTGGTAGTTGGCCTGGGAGGCATAGGGCAGGATCTTCTCGAATTGACCCGTCTCGGCAAAGCCAGCAACAACCTTGTGAGGAATGTTGGCCTTGAGATAAAGAGTGAGGGCCATGTTCAGGTCATGAGGGCGGACGAGGTCACCGAGTCTCTCAGACGCAGTCAACTTGCCCTCCTTTTGCCATTTCTCCAACAGGTTGAGACGGTTCTGAGCGAGAACGGGCTGGGCAAGCTCAATAGACTCGTGCTCGTTCAGGGCACCCTTGTCGAGCAAGAGGCCAAAGTATTGCAGGACAAAGGACATTTGACCAGGTTGCTGGGGGAGCGACTTGAATCTCTCGATCGTCTCGGCGGTTCGAAGGAATTGTCGAGGAGAGTTGGCCGCGATCTTGGCAGCATCCATGAACTGACCACTGTTGAAGAGCTGCTCGAATTGACGAGCATACAGATTATCAGCACCGGGGAGGCCAGCTCGTGATGCCATCTTGATAGCCATATCGGTGTTGGCCGGGTTCTGGAGGAGGTAGGGGATAACGTTGGCGTCGTCGATCGAAACGAAGAGCACTTGACCCTTGCGGTTGATGCCCACAATACCGCGAGACTCGTTGTCGGGGCAGGTGGTGAAGATGGTATCGCTGGAAATTCGGTTCATGAAGATGCAGGCGGCGGTCTCGAGGTCGTAGACATGAATGAATCCGTACTTGGTGACCATGAAAATGACACCGTACTTCTGCGACACCTGCATAGCCACGGGGAAATCGCTGACGGCTTCGGGAGGGAAGAAGATGTCGACGGCCTTCTTCTGAAATACGGGGTTTGACTCGGCGTGATCGACCTCGACGATGTGAAGCTTCGCGCCAGTAGCGGTTCTCACAGCAAAGGTGAAGAGCTTGGTGTCAGCGGGAGCACCCTCCAGGCGCAGCGAGCCGAAGGCCGCAGCGTGACCCTCAATGGCCTGGCTGATGCCACGGTCCTTGGAGTATAGCTGCATGGCACCAACAACGCGGCCCTGCTGTTGCGAAATACCAACAACTACCATCCACTTGCCCTCGGCGTTGGTACGGTAGTTGATGATTTGGCAACCCTAGTTGGAAGTATTTAGCAGACAGTTCGGTGACATGCGAAGGATGAAGGAAGCATTGAACTCACGTTGAGGTTAGCATTGCGCTTGAAGACCTCGACGGGCTGGGCCTGACTGGGGTCGTAGACGTCCCAGTGGTAGACTGCTGAATCTGTAACCAGGCCCAAAGTGGTCTCGCTGATCCACTTCCAGTACTGGACGTCCTCGTTCATTGTGGTGGACTTGAGTTTCGCCTTCTTCTCGAGATCGAAGATCTGCAGTGTTCTCGATTGCGCCTTGAGGGCGATGACTTGACGAGTCCAGTGCATGATGGCACTGTCGGCCTTGATGGGGCGCCGTGTGACATTGTTGCCGTTCTTCAGGTCGACGATGACAACTTCGGGTTGGGCAGCTTCGTTCTTCTTTTCCCGAATACAGACATAAGAGTCTGACTCGAGTGTCTGGCGGAGAACAAGTCAGTCATGATGATGCCATTGAGTAGGAAGATGGTCGGGGGGTGATGGCTCACGCAGGAGTTGAAGCCGATGGAAGCGTCCTCGACACCGGCAGTCTGAAGCTGGATCAGCTCCTGGAACTTGATCGGTAGTGGCGCCATGACTGGCGTTATATGTGACAAGAAGCTTCCAGAGACCAAGTTGCGCTCCTTAGCTGGGTGGTGTCAGTTCGCGGATTCGAATCGGGCAGCTGATCGGGTGTCGCGGGATTTCGTGGATACGGCGACGTGGATGTCGTGTATTTGTTAGAGAAAGGAGTAGGAGCTGGGGATAGCTTCCTTGCGACCCGACTGAATGCGCACAAGGCAATTAATACAGGGAAACAAAGAGCGGTAAAGAGGAGGCGTAAATACGGGGTAACGATGCACCTCGCAGTGATGACAATCTGGAGGGCAAACGGTGATGATGGTGTTTTGTTTGGGTCGGCGGTGGTGGTGGTGATGGTGGGAGGAATGGGAATGGGAAAGATGGGTACGGGATACGTAGTTCGCTTGTGGTGAGGTGGAAGGTTGGAGATTATTTTAGGTGCAGTACCTTACGTTGCCTGTTCGGTTCGTTCCTGCCAGTTCAGTGCCGGGTTGTTAGGTGCGCACTGAACCAGGTGCGCGACGCCTAAGGTCTGTGGTTTGCTGCCAGCTTTCCACCCTCACTGCTTGCTGGCCAGACGTGCCAGGCTTGCCTGCTCCTGCCGGTCCTTGCTGTCTTCAGCCAAGTATCCACCCGTCTGGACCGTGCATCTGGCTCTTCAACCTTCACTGGCTGGATGACAATGGGCCTGTCACGTGGCTATCTTGCTGAGGTGTCCGTTTCCAGGTTCCTAGCCGGAGGCATATTTGACCGGATGCGGGATGACATAAGCGATTGACCACCTCCCAAGTCCGGCGACCCGACCTGCCAGGCCCCGGAGCCTCCCTTGGGTTCCGGATACCTTGAATATGGAAATATGGCAAGGTAATACCCAAGTACTCAGGTGCTAGGAAGTCAAGGCAAGGAGAGTACGAGGAAGTCTATGCGATATTCAGAGCCCTGTCCCCCATTTCACTATGAACTACTCTGCACATATTCCAGCCATCTTGCAATAATTCTGTTACACTCGCAAATTCAACGTAATTCACTATCTGCCCTTCCTTTGTAGAACATCTCGACTCCAAGCTCAATTAATCACTCGTATCTAACATTGCCATGCTGGCCACGAGCTTGTCGACATTCTTGCGTTTGATTGGTACTTCACAGCAAAGCATAGGCCCGAAACATTGAGCAAGTGAAGGTTGGCTGGGACCGCCGCTAGACCGGGGTCAGCCACTTCGAGAAAGCTCCGTTGTAGTGAAGCGTTGAGCCTTCACTTTGTCTCCATCAGGTACGAGGGGGTCGCTATAATGGTAGGTGACAAAGCTCCAACGGACAGGTGGTGGCGGGCTGCCCGGGAATGTTATAGAAATGTTATAGGAATAGGGTAGTGGGATGCATCTAGTCGATGGTACTATTAGTGCCTGGCGCAGATCTATGGGAACCGCGAATCAAACTCACCTGCGATAAACGAGCTGATCTTTGTCCTGTTTTTAAGCGTCTGGACCATGTGCCACCTAACATCGGCTTTGAAATGTTGACTCTTGCCTATAAGATCGAGACAATGTTTGATGATAATCGGCCACTCCTCCGGGTCAGCACCATCCCATATCGTGTCAAGTCTGGCGGAGCCTGGGCAAGGGTCCACGGGCTCGACTGGGCTGATGTCCAAGTGACGCAACCAGGGCTTAACCATTGCCTGCGCAAACGCATGTCTAAACCCCCAAGGGGCGCATCGTTTACGCTGGGCAAGGAGTTTGTACAGGTTATCAATGTGCCTTTCGAGCAGCGCCCTTCGGTCCTCTAGCAGCAACTGTCGCAAGTGAAGAGATACTGCGCGGCGAAAACGCACAATACAGCGAAAACCGAGCTTAAATGACAATTCGTTGGCGTGGATGAATGCGGTAATCATGTCGGACACCGATCGAACACGGGCATGCGGATGTTGAGGGAAGGTTCCCGTCATGAGGAAGCTCATGATGAGGCCAAATGCATCAGTATATTCACATAGAAACTCGTACTCGAGAGGCAGCGGCTGTCCCTCCTTCCAAGGGTCTCGTCCTAGGCAATAAATGGGAATGTTTCGAAAATTCTGAGCAACGATAGGCTCCGGAAGAGAAAAGCGAATCTTCTCCGTAGCTGAGGTAAATTAGACCGTGAGATGCTCGGCATTATACGGAAACCAAGATCTTGAGAATCATTAGTTTAACGCGTGACTAAGGTATTACGCAGGCATAATCGACCTACACTAGCCATGAGAGGTGACCAACGTCTATGTTCTCCATGTGATCGGGAGACGTCTACGAAGAGAGTCAGACGCAATTCCAGTGTAGATTGGCGGGCGAAACTTACCTTGACGTCAAAAGAAGCTGCGCTGAGCTTCAAAGCCCCTGTATCGGGGCCAACTCTCTCGTGCGGGCCGAGGGCCCAGTCGTAGTTGTTCTCGGTCAGATCATCAGGGTACATATTCATGTCGTCGGTGGTGTTCTTCGATTCTCCAGTAGATTGAGGCATGGCTGATATGACATCTATAAAATCATCGAAAGGCACAAGGGAAGGATGAGGCAATTATAGTGGGATTCATCTTGACAACTTGGCGATTGTAAGGTGTTTTAATGCTCGGGAAATGTCCATGGTAAGACGGAACAGAGCAAACGTGGGGTCGGAAGAATCTAGAATAGAGCTTTCGGCGAAATCCAAGGGCGATTAAGAAATGGCTGATCTGACGGCGAACTTCTTTCATTGAAGTGGAGGGTTTCGTACCTAAGTCTCTATCTCACAAGTGGATCGAAGGACTTTCTACAATATTGTAGACGAGTCGCCTGGTCCTGAGACCTGGTATCTGCGTCCCTCAAGGCGAAAGCTGCCCGTTCGGATAAACGCCGTGCCCATTATACACAGGCCAACTACGAACAAAGGTAAGACGGAATGAAAGCCCTCCTACATAGATGCAATATGTTGCGTTCTCAAAGCGCATTGGCACCTGTCACTTCACTCTGGAACCGTCGCCAGCTATGTACGACAACGCGCCAAGGCCACGGGCTAGTCCGGTTACATGAGCAACCTCCAGGCACCGAGAAGCAGAGCGGCGAAACCGGTACACACTCCCATGAGCCACTGCAGCGTCTGGAACTTGACCTGTTCGAGCTTCTCGCGCAGCGCCGCCACCTCCTGCTCAATCTTTGTCTCCGTCTCCTTGATCTTGAGCTCCTGGCCGACAGCCTCCTCGCGGATGCGACCCTTCTCCAAGTTCAGGTCCAGGCGGACGCTGGCCTGGGTCCGGCCGATCTCATCACGCAGCCGGGAGCTCAGCTTCGCAATGTCATTACCGAGCTTCTCGTGGGACGCGCGCGTCGTGCTCGACTCGGTGCTATCGGCCGACAGGAGTTCGGAGCGCAGCTTGGCAAAGTCGACCTTTTGCGTGTAGGTTGCTTTGGCGGCGTCTTCGCGGAGGACCATGGTTCTGGTGAGGTTCTGTATGCTGCTCTGCTATTAGAAGGATGTATGCTGAATGAGGTCGCCGTCGCATACCTTTCTTGTATTACATCGTTCAGGACCTTCATTGTAGCCTCGGCCTGCACCTCCGTGAAACCCTCGCTCTTCATCCGCTGGACGAACTTCAAGGTATCAAAGTGGTGGTCTCGTTGCCTTGAAGGAGTCGCATGGAAGGACCTTGTAAGGCCCGAACTTGCCAATATCGAGGCGCCCTCAGTCTTGAGGCCATTGCTGCGGCATCTAGATGGTATATTCGACTCGTGGAAAGCACTGGTTCGGGTGTGCATCCGACGGCGCGAGCTCGGAGGGAGTGCCGAAACAGGCCGCATGGCGTGGGATCCTGTCGCAGGACCAGTCCAGCTGAGTCTAGGAAGCAAAAACCTCGGAAGGGCGTCAACGGCCATTGCTGTTGGTTTGGCCATCTTGTGTGTACGTGCAATTTTGTCGTGTTGGTGTTTGAAGAGGCAATCTCCAATCCTCAGTCCCAGGGGAGATTATCTTGGTGCTAGCAGCACGGGCGGGAGATTGGGAATGACTAGCATCCAGTGACGGCATGTCGTTGCAGCTGACCCACTTCTGAGCGCAGCTTGCCGAAGACCGGCCGCGGGTGTCAAACACTTGGAAGGCAGGAAGGCAGGGGGGGCACGCCGCAAAGGAAGGACCCTTTTTTCCTTTCCTTCCACTCCCAGTCTCCTTCGTGCCCGCCCATTTGGGTCATCCAGTCGGGTCGGGCTGATTGGCTGCCTGAGGCACGGACCATGCCAAAAAATTCTCTCGCGGTCGCCTACAAAACGCCGCCTGCGCAGCGCAGCTTTGCTATGTTTTCCTCCTTTCTTCTTCATTATTGAACAACGCAAAATAAAACATTCATGTTCTCGTGAAAACAATTGTCTGTTGAGAGGTTCGCTCTTTTGCTGGACCCAGGACCATCGGACATGGAGATCGAAATGGAGAAGGAAGCGAACAATCTTGGGTGCGGTGCCCCTCGGCCTACGGGCACGTGAGGGGGACCGCAATGATTGAGCGTACATACATTCGCCGATCGTAAATATTTTGATGGCCGCTCTTGATGAGTAGAATTGCCTGGCCTGTAACCTGGCCCATGTGACATGCGCCGGCTTACCGGGTTTCTCAGATCCTAGAACCTTGGCCTGTTGAGTACGGTGACAGCTCAATCTAGAGCACGGTTGGAGATCAAGCCTGCTCAACGCAAGATATAGCTTTCGCTTTTTCCTAACGCGATTATTGATCTCGCTGGAGGCGATGCTCAAATTCGTTCCCAGAGCACTTGCCACGAGCTCGAAATTCATCGCTGATTCCGTCTGGCACTTCGTCTTGCTAGCAGACAGGATGTGATGTACATCCTGATTCCATTCCTTCTACACGAACGAGACGAGCGTGTCATTGACAATCCAATCGCCTACCCCTCTTCACCTCGCTGGTACGATGACCGTCAAGCTTGAGGCCTGGTCACCTTCACATACCTTAAGGTACCTGAAAATGGCGTCGGGAGGTTCTTTCCTCCAAGGCCTATAATCACAAAACAACAGACGACATGCTGCGCATCATCAGCAGCAAGTAGCCTATTACTAGGAGAGGAAAAAAGAGTGTGTATGTTCGTGTTTGTACTCGGGTCATAATCGTTTTTGTCCATTTTTTTTCTCTGTCAACATTGTCTCATGGAATCCCGGCTGGATGGCCAAATTACGAAAACATTCCACATGAGAGAAGTGTGGCTCCATCAAAGTTGATACGTAGATTCAGCAGTAGTTGCTGTGAGAGTCCCGTGAGTCAACCAACTCCCACCAGGATACCAATGGAACAGAGGATGCCGACATACCTCTAGGCAACGGCCTCCGGCAGAACGGTCGCAGCAGCCTTCATGGCCTTCAGATCGCGAAAAGCCTTCCTTGCGGGATCAGCCGAGCGCGTCCAGCAGTCCTGGTCGTTGCCCGTGCAAAAGGTAACAGCCTCCACGGTCTGATCGTCGCCTTCCCGTTCCTCACGATCGACGACATCGCCCTCAATGACATCAAGAAGTGCCTCAGCCGCGCGCCTGGCAATTGCACACGACGCACCAGGCCGGTTACACCAGCGTCTCTCGCCCGGATGGACGCCGTCACCACCACCCGTCTCAACATCGCGCATCCAGCCGGCTATCAGATGAATTTTCCTATCGCGACAAACTCCCTTTACCTCCACGGCACGGTGCGAGCCGGTTTCTGTTTCGGTCTCAGGCGTATCGTCTGCAAAGTGGCTCCCGAGATCCAGCCCGCCATAGTAGAAAAATTGATTGTCCTGCGAGGAGGCAACGACGATGGCGAGCTCGTTGAGCGCGCTTGACTTGGGATGCGGCACCGCCCCGGGCGTGGGAGGCTAGGACCTGCGGGGAGTCGCAGTCAACGACGAAGTCGTCCATTGCGAGGGCGACAGCGAAGGTGGCGGCTGCGCGTTTGACTTTCCAGCAGTCATGACCTACGGACTGGCACCAGCCCGTCTTTCTGCCTGGCTAGGTGAGTTTGTATCTGTAAGGGTTTGCTTCCGGGAGGGCGATGGCGTCGGCGGTGATGGCCGGGATGGCGAAGAGTGAGAGGTACTTCGTGGTTGATGAACTGTGCGGAAGGGCTCGTGGGGAGTCTCGTTGGTTGTTGTCCGAAAGAGCTGGTCTGATTAAGGCAATATTGAGCTACCTTGGTTGAGTTTCGGACTCATCGAGATCTCCAATGCCTGTTGCTTGTCTGCTCGTTTGGGTGTGAGTTGTAGAGAGCGAAGAACGGGCAATAGAGTTGGATCTATGTGTCGTCTTTCTAGATGAGTATTCGAAATCTGTGCTACACATCATCAGTCGTCGAAGTCCGGATGCCTTTGCCATGGTTGATGATGTTCTTCAAGGGAGAAGCGTCTTTTCGTCTTGCGTTCACAATTTTTGCTGTTGAGAAGTTCTGTTCTGAGACCTCGTCCGCAGGTGTTTGGTTCTTGCAATGGGGAAAAACCAACAAGAGACCTGTGTCTTTTCCTCTTTTTCTTCCCAGGGGATACAGAAGGCAGTAAAAGGTCGATTAATGGCAATCATTGTGAAATTCCTGCGCGGTACCAGGCTAGGCATGAGGAATCTCGAGCTTTGATGGGAAAGCCGTATAGTCCGGGTTCTGATGGCATAGCGATACCTAAGAGAGTCTTTCTCGCAATGAAGTTATAAGCTCTGGATACATGAAGCAGACAATGGCTGATATTAGGTTGTGATATGGAAGCGACATGGTGGTGCTAGGCCGGCTATTATTTGTCACAGCTGTGATGTTCCTGAACTTTCTCAACGAAGGGACATGAGGGAGCAAGTTTGGGTCAGACGTGTGTGTCTAGACATTTCTTCGATCAAGTAGCTGCGTCCTGATTAGTTGAGCCAATGAGCGGATTCCGGACCACATGTAACGACACAGGTAGTCTAGGGATTGGGCGTAGGTGAGATTGAATCTATCAAAGGAGCAACGTGGAGGACTCGTCAATTGGTGTTGAAGTATAGAGACAGGCAATGAAGTCGGGACCGTGGAGTTGGCGATGCGACTCTCAGGTCATACATCCACGTTCGACGTGAAGGGCGGAGCCTCACCAGCGTCAGCCTAGAGAAGTTGTTGAGGCTCTCAAGTGTTTGATACCGAAAGCCATTTCAGCACCTGTGCCATCGAAACTGGATTCCTTATTCTTTCTCCTTCTCCAAGTTTCCAAGACCAAGTCAAGCAATGGCCCGATCCGATATGAACCAAAACTGTTCCAGAGTTTCGAGATCTTTTACCTAGGTTTCCAAGTGTCACCGTCACCGTCCCAACCCTTGCTTCCCCGCGTTATCCATCCGTCCCACCAACATCCTGGGCCCCTGCCTAGCGGCGCGCGTCCGCCGTCAAGGGTTCATCGGGGACGACCCATTCCAGGTTCAGATAACGGATCAGGGTTTCCATCCACTGAAGCACACCTTCAAGTCTCCGAGATCACGCAGGTCCCTTTGTCCAAATCTTTGACGAAGCTGGAGAAAATATTGGAAAATGTTTATTCACGCAATGGCTACTGAATACTCGAGGTGGTAGAAGTAGGCACGTTACCATGATACGACGGAGCAAAGTCTGATGATCTAAGCTCTGGACTCATGTCTTCCGGTACGGACTCTTGCTGCGGCGATGGCAACTTTCGTTTTGGTCGAGGCTCCAAGGGGGACTTGAGATCTGTATGCAGACAGAGAAGGGCTTGCTAAAGAGTGAGGCCCTCCCTGATCTTCCGGTGCCATCTTGGCCATCGAGCTCTCGGACTCTGGCTAGCCAAGCCTGCCGGGAAAAAACAACATGCAAGCCCTTCTTGAACCGGTAGCCTGGCTTATTGGTGACGATGACTGACGGGACTACCGCGTTTGATGAGGCTCCTCTTGACAGTCTTGTGGTAATACCTTCCCTTTTGCCTGTCGCGGACAACAGTCATGGAAGTAAACAATCATGGTAAAGATGGCAGACCTCGAAGAAGGGTGGTGAGACTTGATCATAGGCTCCAGCCGCTCGCTCATTGTATTCTTTCTCCTTGTTCTCATGTCTGTGTTCGATCCCGCCATAAGATAATGGCTAAATGAGACCGAAAGGCATGGGAGCGGACTGGTTCGTGCCTAGCAGTACGAGCCCGTAGCATTCTTCAGCCTTAAAAGTACCAACGTACACTGTTGAAGGCTCACGAATTAGTCTTGTCCTGATGAAATATCACCGCAGGGTGTGCGTGGTTGTGATGTCATGTCCGAGTCTTCGACTTGAGAGCTGTTGCCTACCAGAGGAAGGCCAATCTTGCTCATCCTGTAATTGGACCACTACCAAGACCTGACCCTTCAGACACATAAATATATCTGATGGAGCTTGAAAGCAACTCAATTCCCAAACGCATGAATGAGCTTGAAAAACGTTTTGCGCTTACAACGAGGATAGCGGCTCGCCAAGGTCGCTGGGAAGAGGCGGAATCTTGTATGCGATGTTGCACAGTGAGGAGCCATGAACATGCCTGGGGCTCATATATCTGGGGCTGGGAGACGACTGCATGTGCGATGAAGACGGATACTAATAAGTTGAGTCTTGCTTCTCTCAAGAGAGCGTGCAGAATGTCACTTATTTTGCTTGAGATGGGCAATCTGACCCGCAATGAAAAGTGTAGCATGAGCCTTCCACACCCCAGAAGTATCTGGCTTTCATATCGGCGGCGGCAACGAATATGAGCTTATCTTCCATCCGGAGTCACGACAGCTCGGGACGAATGCGTGCGATGAGTTCAAAAAAGCCTTTGGCAAGTCTCATACCCACCGGTAAGCATGGGGAAATGACTTGGTAGTGTCTTAATTGCTACCTGGTGGCGGGAGTGCAACCACATCTGATATGGAGGAAATTTGGCTGGAGGGGAAAAAAGACGCGTCGCGCTTTGCTGTGTGAGTGCTGCGTAGATAGATGATGGCGTTGATTTCAAAGGGGGGGTGTCTAAGAAGATGACGATGTCAGACCTAAGCAGGCCAAGGTAAGTTCCATTGAGATTTAGCGCGGTCAATTGCTCGGAAGCTAAATTTGGAGTCGAGTTAGATTGAGATTGCCTGTGGGATGGATAGGTTAGTGAGATTGTGAGCACACCGCCAGTTCTGAAATCTCCAACGACTCCAAATTGGAAGGTCCAAGAAGGAGGCTCCAAGGCGCGGGCAGTCAGGGAGCAAGGCAAGGTAGACCCCAAACGGCAGGAGGTTCGGCTCCGGAAATTTACACGAAAGAAAAGTCGCACAGCCGCAGACTCGAATTTGAGGCTTGTTTGCTGGACTAGGTGACCGGTCTGTCGTTGTCTACGGAGTGAGGTAGGTAGGCCGGATTTGAACAGGACAAAAAAAGGACAGTCCCGAGCGTCGCACTACTTGTGTCGTGAGACGAGCCTCATTGCTAGTGCTTGTCAACTAAGGGAAATGGAGGTTGAGCTAGCATGAAGTCGGTCAATTGGTTTCGCTATTGGGGGGTGAGGCGACTGAGGCGAGCTGTGTTATGATGTATGTATGCTCGAAATGGGGGCGAATTCGAATTGCAGGATGAGATCATCAACTGTGGTGTCGCTAAGTACAGTAGCAAAGTACCGGGAGGTGTAGGTAGGTATCACGGTGCATGACCTCACCTCCAGCGGGCGGCGGCAGCGGCAGGTATTTCGATAACCGCCAAGTGCGACGGTTACACTACGGATAAGACTACGGAGTACACTGACCTGAGTCAAGTTCCCCAGATTAAGTTCCGAATCCGCCATGTCTTGTTTCTTGTTCGGGGGTCTCAAAGGAAACTCAACGTTTACTTACCCCAAATTGTGTGAGGTTATTGTAGCTGTGTTGATGACAGGACAGCTGTGAGTGCCCGTGCCGGATGGATCCCCAAGGCTTCACCAACATGACGACACCTCATGCATGGATATCGGGATGATGAAAAGAAGGGTATAGATGTGTTAGGATCTTGTTACTGTAAGGATGATGAGATGCTGCTGCTTGCACGTGTGTGGCCAACGGTCAAGCGCCGATCATGAACCGGTCAGGCGGTGAGGTGCATGCATTTTGGTGGGGCGGTGTCGCGGGCCGCCAATGCCGTTATTTCTTGTCCGCTGTGCTGCTGCAGTTGCTGCTGCTAAGGCAAGTCACTGCTGCCCTCCACCTGCCTGCGTTACTGCGTAGAGGACGGGAATTACTTGCCTTTCCCAAGCCTCCCCCCATTGCCCCCCATTTACCAGTGACCACCACCCCCCGGGCCAGTACTTCCCCATTGCGATTTGCGGCTTGAGCTGCCCCCAAGCTTCTCTAGGCCAAGGGCCCCCCAAGGAAGGCCCCAACCTCTCTCCACGACCCCGCAGTAATTTACATGGTGCCAAAATCGTCATCCCGATCCTCTCTCTTCTTTCTCTCCCATACCTTACCTTACTCTCCGTAACTACATTTCTCTCCAACATTCCAACCTCTGAAAAGTTGTAGGAGAAACACCAAGACATCCAGACAAAGGAGACTCTCACAATACCTACGATATCTACCATGGCTCCATCAAAACGAAAAGACCCCAAAGCATTTCCTACGCGCCAACTGGCTGTTCTTGGTACGCCCATCCCCATCCCCATCCCCATCCTCTCTTCCAACTTTCCCCTCCGTCTCATTCTCGAAAAACTCAGATAAGGTTTCTCTTCTTCTTATCAGCGCTGTCCAGTGCTGCCATTCAATGGACTTCACTGCGACTGTGGGCTAACATGCGCGTCACAAACAAACAGCGATATGTCGATTCTCCGAGCCCATCGCCTTCAATTCAATTCTGGCCTACACCTATAAGATGGTCAAAGATCTCGGCATGGAGGAAGACGCCGGTTTTTACGCAGGTCTCTTGATCTCCGCCTACGCCGTCGCCGAGGCCATGACCTCAATGGGATGGGGCACCCTGTCCGATCGCATCGGTCGCAAACCCGTCGTGTTATTTGGTCTCGTCGGTGTCGCCATCTCGAGTTTGATTTTTGGTTTCGCAAAGACGTATTGGGTCGCTTTGCTCGCCCGTTTTGTTGGTGGCGCTCTCAACGGCAACGTTTCCGTTATGCAGACCATGGTGGCAGAAATGGTCAAAAATCCCGACCATGAGCGTGAGTCTCTCTCTCTCTATGCCCGGTGTAATTATCGGCGCAAATTGCGGCGAACGACAGCGTACTGATTTTTTTTTGGTTGGGGAACAGCCAAGGCCTACGCCGTACAACCCTTCGTATGGACACTGGGCGGCATTATCGGCTCTGCCATGGGTGGTTTCCTCGCCCAACCCGCCGTCTATTACCCTTCGGTCTTCTCTGAGGATGGTATTTTCGGCAGGAATCCCTACTTGCTTCCGAATCTCGTGTCCATGGCAGCAATCTCCCTGGCCGTCTTGCAAGGTGCTTTCTTTTTGGAGGAGACTCTCGAATTCGAGGAGGACGATGACCTCCACAATGGTCGCAACAGCGTCGCCGTGGACGATGATGACGCCGTCGATGAGACCACGCCTCTGCGCCGCGCACCCATCCGGACCTTCAACCCGCGTCGTTCCATTTCCACCAGCCATTCCCGACCGCGCTTCGCTGAATCGAGCTTGCCTTTGCCATTCGAGCACGACTTTGACCTCAGGAGATCCTCCTTTGGAACTGTACACTCAATCAAGGTCATACC